CTCCCCTTCCAGCACCCACCATCCAGAGCCTGGCCACGGCCCCACCGCACAGGGCAGGACCCCTGCCTGGAACCACCCAGCCTCTTGGCCCAACGCGCCCCTGTTTCAGACTTCCCCCGACCCCAAAACCCATCCCCAGGACTCCCAAGCACGGCACAGACCACAGCCTGGACTGCAACTTCATCCCCTCTCCAAGTTCCAGTCTAAAAGGTTCAAAGTTGGAGTGCTGGCATTCCAAAAAGGAGGTCCTGCACTTCACACCCTCCTTCCCTCGTCACCACAAGGGCAAAGAGGACATTTCAGGACATCTGTGTCCAGGAATGGGATAAACGTAACTAACTGGGGTACTGTCACACTCCACTGCATCTGTGCAGCACAGACACAATGTCTCTTAGGCACTGAAGCAACGGGAGAAGGACAATAAGCTGCCTGCCACCATATCAAGACTGATGTCTTGATTCTTCTGAAAGATCCCCTGTGAGACGGTCCCTGTGGGATCCCTGTCCCTTCAGAAGGCCAGATGACTTTACAAGGTCCTCTGACTGCTACCCATGCTAGGTCCAACCTCACATGAGCTCAGCCTGTATCGTCTTGAGGACGAGGAAGGCTGACAAGGGCAATCCTGCCCTTACACCTACAACTTTTTGCGTAAACAGGCAGTGCGATGCCTCACGCAGGGAAACCGTGCCAGGAGATAAAAGGGTGGCTGGGAGAGGCCTTCTCCCTGACGCACCACGGGAAGTGAGAAGACCACATCCTAGTGGGGCCAAGCTGCTATCTTTCCATGCCTGCTTGCAGATAGCATCAGAGACCTCCTGAGAGGTCAGCACAGCATCCTTACTCCCTCACCGGCTGCATGGTGCCCCCGGCAATGATCACAGCATGGCATTCTTCCACCACTTTGGCAAAGTGGACAGCTGGATTCAGCAAGAGGAATTTAAGGCTGCTCTGACCAACCGTGCCTGGGAAAAGGAGAGAAACAACACCAGGAACTGGCTGTGACACACACTCAAGGGTATGAGAGATTCTCCCGCCAGCCCTGGGCATGTCCCCACCTCTCAAAGCAAGGACTCGCTGCTATTCAACACTGCCAGGGGCAGCAGCAGGTAATACCAGCCTGGAAGTTACCTGCTGCTTCCTAATCTTCCTGGAGCTGTGGAAGCAGTGCAATAAAGACAAAAAATCCACATCCAAAGAGGGAGCAGAGCTCTGCAAACCCCAGCCCCAACGCCCTTGGTTAAGAATTCCTTTGGGTTCACGAGAGTCCTCAGACAGCCTGCGCCTGCCAGCCTGCATCATGGACAGCACAGATGCGTTTCGGCAGGGCTGCCGGCTCCCTCCAGGCTCAGCATCACCTCCCTCGCTGCCAGTGAAGCGCCCTGCTTGCGATTCCCACCGCCCCTCCCCAGCTCGCCCTTTCCAGTACCTTGCCTGTTGAGAATGACTCGGCCATCTTGGTTTGCATTCGTGAGGGCTGAGAGAAATCCTTCAATCTGCATCAGCGGAGAGCCAGCTCGGAGCTGGCTGCTCTCAGCCTCCGTGGGAGGGCTCTGGAGAGTACCCGCTGGCCAGAAGGGAAAAGGAGAGACAGGCAACTTAGGCCACGTTTCTGAAGACAGGGACTAAGCACAAAATACAGATGGGTCCCTTCTACAGGAACACGATACCTGGTCTACATACGCAGGCAGAGAACAAAAACCCAATAAAGAGGAGAACCTAAATTCCGTCTCATTGCTAGGAAAAAAAAACCCCAAAAAACAGAGGAGGAAAATCTGGCTTTTATAGCTGGCACCACTAAGCAGAGCTACCCACGGTAGCTCAGGTCCCAGAGCCAGCAGGTCACAGCAGGGCAAAGCTTGACTGCCTGCATTGTAAACATGGAATCGCATCATTCAACTTGGCAGGGACCTCAGGAGATCTTCTCATCATACTTATCGTTGCCCAGGTCATCTAGACAGATACACTAAAAACACATCTGCAGAGGACAGCTTCTGCAGTCTATCACTCTTCAGATCTGCCTCCCCCCTTTCCTCGTGTAGATAGATGCAGGTTCCACAACCTCACTTTGTCTGCAGGTGCACAAGCGGGGGATGTCTCAGCTCACCCTCTTTATCAGATCCCTGCTGGAGGGTCAGAAGAAAGTTCTGCAAACCAGCCAACTTCTGGTTCTCCTTGTTGGTCTTCACAGCTGTGGCAGGGCCTCCATATCGCTCCACAAACCCAAAAAGCTGCCAAGCAAAAGCCAGTAAGACTAAGACTACCAAGAGCAGGAATCAGACAAGACAAAACAGGACGCGGTCCTGTGCAGCCTGCTCTGGGTGACCCTGCTTCGGCAGGGGGGTGGGGGCGGGGGGCCCACGGTCGCCCCAACATGCTGGGATTCTGTAAAACCAGGCTGTTGGCCTGCCACAGATAAAAGTTCCTTGGTAGGCGTTCGCAAACCAGCCTAGTCAGAATCTGTCAGCCCAGAGCTCCCACTGCTTTCCTTCACTCACTGAATCAAAACCCAAACAGGTCCCTGATCTCATTCCCCCAGTGCAGTGCAGCCTGCCAGGCTGGCGAGCCTGAGGCCAAGCAGCACAGAAGCAGCACCCACTGGAATGCCGTAGTACGCCACGCTGTATGCTGCTTTGCCAAAGATAACCTGCCCATACAGTGTTTTTTTGCAGGAACCACTTTGTTTGCAGAGCAGGGTGGAGAAGACAGCCTCCCACCCCAGCTGCTGCATCTTCCACTGCAAACTCAATGTGTGAAACAGCACGTGAATGCTGTCAACCACAACGTCACAGGGACAGCACCTTCCTACTGATGAGGCTCTTCTCGCAGTAACGCCGAACCTGTTGGAGGAAGACAGAGAAGTGAGCCGGCATTCAGCATCCCTTCTCCCATCTCGCTGCCCCTGATCCCCGTCCAGCAGGGATATCACTCCTTGTTCTTGCTGTGCTCTTGGGGAGGGGTGGACAGCTCTTCGTGAGTGTTGCCTCCCAGACAATAGTTCATGACAAAGGCATTGCTTCCAGAGTGGAAACACACAGCATGAGGGTGCCGTGTTTGGAGGTTCGAGGGGTGGGATAGGTTATTGGAGTAGGGATAGTTTCTTCACCCTCAACCCTGACAGTTTAGCTTTGCCTACAGCCAGCCTCTGCACCTGTACGTGTTCAACTCCTTGCTTCCCTCTACCCCAACACCACCTATCCAGCTCCAGACAGCAGCAGAAGAGATCAGAAGAAATCTATACACTGGAGAGCAGATTCTGCCACGTGGGCCTTGGCTCTAATTCCAGCTCTCACACACACCTCCTGACAACCCTGAGCGAGTCACCACCACCTGTGGCCTAGCAGACAACGTTTGCATTACCTTGAAGAGGTTGATGTTGTCAGTCTGGCTCTGAAATAGGAAGTCATTGATGGATTTTAGCACTGTCCCTGAAAGAGAGGGGGGGAAAGGAGAATAAAAATTATTAGCTGCTGGGCCTGCAGCCCCTTACTGCCCACCCCCATGTCCCTGACTGATGGCTGCACACGCCAGGTGTTCACTCTACTCTTACCTGTTTGGGAAACTGCCTGACAGTTAGGATTCTGCTTCACATTACCTGTAAGACACAAAACTGCTTCAAGGAGGGCTTACAACTTTGCCCAGCGACAGGACAAGGGGCAACGGGCACAAACTGAAGCAGAGGAAGCTCCAGCTGAACATGAGGAAGAACTTCTTCCCTCTGAGGGTGACGGAGCCCTGGCCCAGGCTGCCCAGGGAGGCTGTGGAGTCTCCTTCTCTGGAGATATTCCCTGGACAAGATCCTGTGCAGCCTGCTGTAGGTGACCCTGCTTCGGCCGGGGGGGTGGACTAGATGACCCACAGAGGTCCCTTCCAACCCCGCCCATTCTGTGATTCTGTGATTCTGTGAAAGGGCAGAGAGCACCACCAGGCCCCGGCCCCACAGAGCTGCATTTCCCCTGGGCGAGGAGCAAGGTCTTTCTGAACTTCTGGGAGGCTCCCCCCGAGGCACACTGAGGTCTCGCAAACAGATCATTAGAGGAAAGGAGCCCTGCAAACGCCAGTAGATTTAAAAGTCACAGCAAAATAACATTTTTTTCCGCAAAGGAAAGGCATCACTCAAGAAAGATTCATTCTGCAGAGCCACGCCTGACACAGGTAGAGGCTGTGCCACCAGATGACCCAGGAGATTTATTCTGTGCGGTTCTTGCGCTGTCCTGATCACTGTCACACATCTGCTGTATTACTCACTTAGCACCCTCCCTCGTCCCCACTCAGATCAGATCTGAAAACCTCACAGAAAGAGGGTGAAACTGCCTCTACCAACTTAGGTCATCTGCTGCTCCTCAGCTAATCAAACAAAGAGAGGGGTTCAGGCATACACCAATCGACATCCCCATGCTACAGAACAGCCTGAGAAATAAAATCAATGCCATCTGAACCGATACACGAGCAACACCAGCCCACAGATTCTGCAGAGGGGGAAAGGGGACAGTGTCCTGAGGAAGCACCAACGAGCTCGGAGTCTGTCAGCACCCCTGGAGATACAATAGGTTTGCTTACCTCCCAGCACAGCCACAAACTGCTCCAGCAAATACAGGATCTGCTTAATGTACATCAAGTTCTTTGCCTTCAAGCGTTTCCTGTGAAAAATGAGATGGGTATTAGGCCCCAAAGCATCTTCAGGGACTAACTCACAGCAGCTGAGCTGCAGAGACAAGTGCCTGAACTCCCCTTTGTTTTGGGGAGACAGAAACCAAGAATGATTTCTCCCAGACTCACCCTCCCTGTTTGTGACAGGGCACAGACCCCTGGGTTTCCTGCCCCAGGTCACCCCAGGGCACTCAGCCATGCACCCCACGCTGTTCATACTGTCACCTTTCTCCTCACACATAAATTGAAGTTTGTTTATTACAACAGCAGTGCCGTCTCAAGTCCCTGTTGCAATAATGCTCCACAAAGTCAAAGTACTGAGCACGACAGTCACCCACTGTAGGGGTGACAAGACGCAAGATTTGGCCAGTGTCAAAACACAGGTGTAGCTTCCCCCTCCTCAGAGCTTACTGCCTCTGCCATAATGCCAGTCAGCACGAGAGACTAAGGTCCAGGAGAGACATGAAAGACTGGACCTTTTGAAACTCTGCATCGCAAAGCAGGAGCGATTAGAGGGAGATACTGGGAAAGGAACTGAGAGTATCAGGGCACCCCCCTTCTCACTGCTTAACACCAGCCCCAGGAGTCTGACTTGGACAGATTCTAGACACAGATAATGAAGCCAGTGGGCTTTTCATCTGCAAAAGTATTAATGCAAATAACTTTCCACCAGGAAAAGGCAAGAAAGACCCCGCAGACGTGAGACAAGCCACGGCGTCCACACCACCTGCCACTGTTGTGCTGTTTCCCTGCGAGATCCTCACCTGTATCGCTCCATGTACTGCAACAGCTGGGAGTGGGCACAGCACAGCTACACGAACAGAAAAAGGAGCTGTTGTTACACAGGAGTCAAGAAAGGGCTTTCTACTGGATGCAGAGCTCGCTCCTGATTAACAGGCCAGGCTGTGACTCACCTGAGAGCCACTGACCTCCGCACTATGGACACAGGTGATGGTGTCTATGAGGTTGTGGGCCTCGTCAATGATTACAACCTGGTCCTTCAGCTTGATCCCAGCAGCATTCCTGGTAGGCTCATGCAAGAGCATCTGATAGGGCAGCACCACCAGCTACAAGAGAAGCACACACTGCCCTGATTCTAGGTCTCATCCTTGCAAACTTAGGGCACCCCCCAGCCGCTCATTAAAGGCCCATATCAGATGGCCTCGCAGAATTCAGTGAAATTACTTACTCTTATTATGGGAAAGGTAGGAAAAGAGACAGGAGCACGTGCCTGAGAGGGGCACTGGGATGTAAGCTAAAGAGAAATGATTATCCTACAGCTGCCTATTGGCTCAGGTCACCTTCCAAATCTCCTCTGAGGCACTAAAAGCATGTCTTCTGACAGAGAACCAAGCAAGGAAGCAGAGCGGTGGCAAGAGCTAAGATTACACCCACGTGTCAGTATTGCCTCGGAGTTATTGAGCCTTTCAAGTATTTCAGAATGCTGAGACACACTTACAGCCTCCCTATTAACTGCAAATGGGTATTCTTATTTCCCTTTGCGTTCTCAGCAAAACTACAGTGACAGACACACAGCCTGTTTACAAACTCCCACAATATTGAGTAACAGCACTGAAGGGAGCAGGCAATTGTTTTATTCCTAGAGGCCCTGGCATTAATTCCACTAAAAGTGTGCACACCTTCTTCCCAAAGCCACCAACTGCTCAATATCCTTCACTTCCACTAGAACTTCATCACGGAGAAACTGCATTTGCTCACAGGAATAAAATGGGCACACAGCGCGACTCACACGTCTCTTCTTCCCTTCCACATCTTCATCACTCTTCTTTTCTAACCACAGAAATCGAAAGAAAGCTATGAGCAACGCATAGCCTAGAACAACCCCTTTGCAGAACCTCCTGGATTTCAAAGCAGGCTTTGCCATGTGCGTTTTTGACCTATCATCTATTTAAATATTACTCAGCAGTAACATTTCCATCTCCACAGTGGATACTACTCGTGCCAGTTAGATTTAGCCATGTGACATTTTCCAACACTTCTAGTACCGAGTTAAAGACAAGTATCCCTTCCATTGCAGAAGTCCTGACCAACTTCAGGCAGTCAGAAAACACGTACAGATCTCTGCATCCTAGCCTGGAGGACAAGAAAAGGAGAAGTGCCACGGATCTCTAGCTCTCCTCCTCCAACCTGCCATTTTCAAGCTCCTACCACTCTCCTGCTAGAGCTGATTGGCAGAGCACACTGTCTCCAGGCTCTCATACCAGCGACTGCTTCCCCAGGCTGGAAGTGCTCCTACCATGTTTGTTCTTCTGCATCTCCATGCAGCGGTCATTGATGAGCTGCAGAGCCCCCAAGCGTCGCACCTCCTCGTTCACACACAGGTTCTTGGACATGCAAAGAGAGGGAGCGGTAGGGGGTCATTAAGCACTGAGTACCCCTGCAGCACACCCTTTGCTGTAAAATAAAAGCAATTTCAGGCCAGATTCTGAAATGGAAAAGTCTATCGGTCAGACACTGTTCATGCTAACTGCTACAAATCTGCTCAAAACCCAGAAAAACTTAGCAAGGAGGAAAAAAATGAGAAAAGGTGCAGTGAGATGGCTCATCGCTACATAGCAGCTTCTAAAAAATGCTGCCAGAAGTAACACTAAAAGAAGCGCCTTCCCAGTGACTCAGACATCTGTAATATTCCACACCAGAAAAGGTAAAACAGATTTTTGCATTTACATCAAAGGGTAAATGGCCAAAACACAGCTCGCAGAAAAACGTACATCACACAGATCTGTGTCACGACCCATGACTGCTTTAGTTTTTCAATGGGACATTCAGTCAATCCCCGAGATGCCTTCTGTGGCATCACCTCCACGCACCTCCTCGCAAAGTCTCTCACATGAAGTTAACGTGCACTCTGGGGCCCTTGTGAACAACACCACATACCTGCCTGGATCCCAAGGAGACCAGACGCGTCTCTTTGCCAAAAGGACTTTTTTGCACCTCATGCACAAACTGAGACAGCTGGGAGTGAGTGCGGCTGCAGTAGTAAATCTACAACGAGGAAGAACAAAGGGAAGACAAGAACATGGAAGCCAATCCCCTACCTACAACCAATCCTGCAAGGAAGCAGCCGAACACTTCAACAAGATTAACCTTGCTCAAGCGGTCAAAAACACGAGGGAAGGCACATGTCTGAGTGTCACCTTACAACTGTTCAGGCCAAGAGCCTCATCTTTGTTTTCTCCTATGCATTTGCCTTTGTTTCAATGTAATTTTCCAAGGTCCCTATAAAAACAGGGACTCGCCAATGGAAAGTAATAAAAAACTATTTCTTGCAGTGTGCTTTTACAGCAAGCCACAGCAAAAATTCAGCAGTGCCAGCAGAGCAGGCTGCTTAGGCAGCCAGCGTAGTCCAGAAGGAGGTGAGCGCAGCAGAACTGGTTGCTGTTATCAACAAACTTGGCAATTCTTGGATGCTAGTTCCTAAATCTTTCTGTACCACATGACCCTGGGAAGGGTGCGAGGAGGCCATAATTCTGCTCACCTACGCTGTTCTACAAGGTGCCACTATTTGCTTTCCTCATCTCACCTTAGTCACATGCTCCTCTTCTAAATCATCGTCATCTTCCTCCAGCCTAAGAAAAGAGAAAGCTCAAACAGTTTCCTTTCAGCAGATCGCTGACGGTTAGAATCAAATGATGCTCTACCACAGGAGAGAAGTCTTGAGAGGGGTGGTTATGTCATCTCTAGAAGAGCCTCAGATCTTAACTTGTGAGGTAAAAGAAAAAACGATGTTTTAAGAATAGTGTAAGCGCGCACAATCAAGCCGTGCCTTGCTCTTTAAAAGAGAAAGGTCTGTAAGGCTGTGCCTTTAACAACTTCAAGAAATGTATTTTTTTCTTTTAAATCTGGGGCTTCTCAGCCCCGGGCATAAGCTAATCAGTGCTATACTATTCTTTGGTGAGCTTATTTACTTTTGTAAAAATTTCCCTTTAGAGACAATTTACCACCCTCAAGCTATCGCATAAAGAAAAGCTTCAGGAAGATATTTAGCTGCCACAGAGTTCCTCAAAGGCAACAGCAGTTTAATGTTTGATAAACTATATATAAACGAAGTAGTTAAGTGTTTTGCAACTTTTAAGGCAGGAGGATCTGTGCAGACACTAATTAGTAAATTTGTATTTTAAATGTGTTTGATTTTTCATGCTGAAGTATGGCTGCTGGCTTTCTGCATACAGCAAATGTACAAGAAAGAAAAGCGTGCACTGGGTTTTCATGCTGAAGGTCGACCTTTAGAAATGCAAACATCTCTCCCTTTAGAGTATCAGAAGATGACAGTACTAATCTGCAACACTGATCCTCCCTCTGATGGCCCGAGTCACGTTTTGCTTGTCTAAAGCAAGGAACTTGATCTCAAGTCACTCACTCAGCATCCAGAGGCATTATTTGGGAAACCAGTCATGAATAAAGGCGTGACATTGCCACACATTTTAAGAAAGATGCACTCTCAGAAAACACTTCAGGTCACTCTGATCAGTCTAACAAAAGCTTCAAAAACAAAACCAAACAAATCCCCCCCCAACACAAATACAACCAATTACACAAACAAATCCCCAGAATAATCACTACCTTACCCAGCTTAAATGGGTGAGAAACTCCAGATCTGCACAACCACATATGAAATCCCCTTAATTAAGGCACGCCAAAAATGACAGAGAAAATGTTTCCTTGGCACAAAACCCCCCCAGTCCCCATCCTTACTCAGATACCGCTTTCTTTTCTTCATCGCTCTCATATTCAGCAAGAATCAGCTCCTCCTCACTGTGATCCAGCTGCGCCAGAGCATCCACTCCAGCTCCCTCTGAAAGAACCTCCTTGCTGAGCTGAAGCAGACGCTTTGCCTCATCCTCCTCAGACCTCTGAAAGGAACAGACGATCACATCATTTCCCATGCAGAAAGAGAGGTAGCACACGCATGGCTTTATGCCACGGACAGGTCAGAAGTCAGCACAGCTCCTCACCTGGAACACAGGGAACGGCTTGCTGGGTAAACCCCAAGCAGGACAAGCAAATGCACCAAGGGTGTCTGAAGCTGTTCAGCCCCACAGAATGCAGCTGTTAGCAACCAAAGCCTTGCCCACACAGACACAGATGAAGGGGGAAACACAAAGAACCTTCTATGCAAAAGGCTCATTGAACTAACAGATCCTGAAATGACAACATCCATGTAATTCAGTCTTAGTTGTCTAAAGCGGCCCATAAAAGATGTCTGCCTAAGAAAAAACAGTGTGCAAATAAACCCAAACAAACGTACGTGTAAGGACATAATCAAACACTCTGCCCACACAACTCAAAGCTAGGATAAACCCAGCACCCGTTTTAAAACGCAGAGCACAAGACTTCTCTCGCTGTTTTTTCTCCAGTTAGGTGGTTCTTACTCTAAGACAGGTCTACCCCTGTACAAAAACTCCACTAAACTGTTGAAGAATAGTTTTCTGACTCACTTTGTGTTCTGATACAGAAGAGCTCACTTTTTCAACCTGAAAACAGTACCTTCCAACCTCAACATTATGATGAAACGCTGTTAGTAAGCACTACAGAAGAGATGAATCAATTGCTTCTCCAAAGCTCTATGTTTCTCTCATTTGATTTCTTGCTTTTTATCATGCTTCTCATTTCACATGCTCTTCACCCTCTTTTAAGAGACAAAAGTTCTTTGTTCCACTTGTTTTTTCTTTGCCATTCACCTCTGAACCTTTGCTATTTCTGCCACATCCTTTTGACAGGAGTTGACCAAAACATAACACTGCACTTGAGGTTTTATCCTTAGCTAACATGACCTGTGTAGTGTTCTGCACTCTACTCATATCCAATATTTCAATTTTCTGTATAAAAATCATTAGAGATGGTTATACTTGAGATGAAGCACACGAGAAACTAATAGCCTGGCAGCCTAATAAATCTGCCTGCCTGGGGACCTGAAGTGGGTATTTCTGGGAAGTTTGACTCATATCATCAAAAAGCTCTTAGAGTCAAGAGTACTGAAGCCAGTTCACCCATCTAAGTGGCAAGAAAATATATCTGTGAACTTTTTATATGCGGAAAAGAGACATTTCTGAACAATACAATCACGTTTGCTATGAAAGTAAACGAGTACAATCGTTCCCTAGGGGTGAGCAAAGCACAAACCAAAGCCTGACCTGGCTTTTTTGAGGGCGGCTTCTGTTCCCATAATCTTACATTTAATCCCAGTTCTACAGGTTTTATTCCAAAAGTTCAGAGTGTTCACACACGCTCAATAAACAGACAGCTTTCAGGAACAACAACAAAGAAATCCAAGTATTACAGCTTTTAAAACAGAACCAGAGGGCCAGAAGGCCATCAGAATACACGCCCTTTCTAGCCACACACAAACATGGTCACAGGAAATCATCTACACGCAAATTGTTTTTCACACCCGTACTTTAAGCAGAAAATCCAACCAAAAATTTTGGATGGCCAATTTCAGCAACCTAACACAGAGAGCTCCCCAGACAGACAGGTTGGGGAGTTCAGAGTGAAGCTGCAGCTACAAGCGAGCACGAGCAACACTCGAGGCAACCACAACAGAGAGCTCTAACCTCTGCGGGACAACCCACCTTCCTCTTTGCTGCGTATTTTAACTGAATGTTATGGCGAATCTTCTCCAGGCGATCCTCTCGCTTTTTCCTCCTGATCTGCTCTTCCTAAAATAATAGAATCGTAGAATGGCAAGGGTTGGAAGGGACCTTAAAGATCATCTGGTTCTAACCATCCTGCCGTGAGCAGGGACATCTTCCACCAGACCAGGTTGCTCAGAGCTCCATCCAACCTGGCCTTGAACCCTGCCAGGGAGGGGGCAGCCACAGCTTCTCTGGGCAGCCTGTGCCA